TGATGATGATGATGATTAACAAACATACCGAACACGACATTTTCTCTCCAGTGTTCACATTTTATCCCAATCAGTTGAATGATTTGGTTGGGATGGCAGTTTGCGGTTACCTTGATGATGATGATGATGAGATAACATACCGAACACGACATTTTCTCTCCAGTGTTCACATTTTATCCCAATCAGTTGAATGATTTGGTTGGGATGGCAGTTCGGATGCGGTTACCTTGACACATGCAGCTTTCAGCAATCTAATTATTTTCGACCATGTCTGAGATTGAGTGAAGAGTGACTCAAAAACACGGCTCCACCGTATACACATTGGCTTGTTCTGATACACGGCCAACAGTGTTCTTGACCTTGACAGTGATCACATGATTTGGAGATGGGGGTAGAGTCAAAAGAAAAACATGGATCCTGCGCTAACTTCATCTGTCAACTCCGCTGGATAAGACGGCTGCTTGTAAGTTTGTTTCCACGGGTCTTGCACACTCAGCAGAAATGTTTACATTGCTGCCGGTGGCCGTCGTTCGGTGCGCTCACTAAGTACGCTAATTATATGTGCATTAATTTGCCCAGTTTTGAAGGACTGCACATAAACCTAAAATTACTACACGCGAAAAGATCAACTGTTTTCGACAGCACATACAGAGATCGGTCAAATAACACTCCTGGTCCATCGCACTGCAGAAATTCTGCAACAAGGCCACCGGAAATACAATGCGTCTTTCATTAACAATCATCCTGGAAGCACATTGATGTCCACTTCGTTGCCGTCATCTCCATGTTCGTCTTACAGAGGCTGGACTTAATTTGTCAGATCAGTTCAGTGACTTAGTACGGAGGCAGTTTTGTCAGATTTTACAAACTCCACATGAAATTCGTGCTTGTCTCACAGAGAGGTAAACGGAGCCATGTTTGTTAAATCCTGTTCAGCTAGTTCAGGTAATGTTCTTAGCACATCTGATGACCTAAAAGGATGCATCGAATCCGGAGCAGCAAGGAAAAAATTGACTAGCGATTCATACATCACAACAGGAATTCGTGTGCTGTTGGAGAACAGTACAAGCGAGAGATCTGGTTGAGCTCCCCCGCTAACAACATCGTAACTTGCGAGTGAGTGTTTGTTTCCACGGATTTCCAACCTGCACTGATGAACCAGACTGTAAGTCTATAAAAAGTTGCGGTAAAGAATCTGTAAAGAGAGTATGGGTTGGCGCGAAGACTTAGGAAACACGTTTATTGGCTTGACAGTAAAAAGGACCAAATATGAAAAGCGGTAATATACATCAACAAAAGAGGCTTACTCGGCCAGCATGTAGCTCACGATGCCTACAGCGGTCCCGAGCAATATCTTTCACCCAATCGATAGTCTCGAAATCCTCATAGTAGCCCACAGTAGAATGTGGAACGCGATTAGGGGTGCCATGATCAGGAACGGATCCCTGTTGTCCAAGTGCTGGATGTGAGAGAACAAAACTTGCGTAAAGTCTGCAGAGACACGAAGATGTTAGGTTGGAGCACATCCAAACACACGTAGTATCAATCGTACGATGGTGAGTATAAATTCAGATTTATCAATGGTCAGAGTGCTACAACAGGATCAGATTACCAACAAAAGACGTCAACAGCGACTGATCATTGCACAAACACACTTAAATATCAAGTTTGTTGTGAACAAATCACGACACAATAGAGCCCCGACAGAAATTTTGCTGATGCATTGATCTGTACTGGATTTTCACTCTGGACAAAAATGACCCGACCCTACGAGTCTAATGTAGACGGAGTTATGTTATGGGAAAACCAGACGCTGTTCAAAACTGCGTCCCTGGCTTGAACGCGAAGAACTACACCCACAAACGTAGTGAGCAGAAGGGCAGTTATGCATACGCACAAATACATACCGGCACCTGTGTAGCTGAAACTGCCCTCATACAGTGGACCCACAGAGCCGATGGGCACCACTCTCACACTGCTGATCACCATATACGCGTGTGTAGGGACAATGTATCCCATCCAAAATTGCATTTGAGGGACAATGTACTTTAATATTATATGGGTGAGAGGCTTGGGCACCCGTATGATACGAAAATCGGCATCCTGATCCTATCCAGATGGAACAGTGGGGTACAGAATGGACTGCATATTCCGAGCAGAACCAGGTCCTCATACTAAGCGGTAGTTTCAGAGTGAGGCCTGAGTGTCTGAGGTTGTCGTCTGCCCATCAAGCTGAACAGTATGCTTGCTGCGGCTTTCTTTATATGGCCATAATGGCCATCTGGATAATTTTTGCAATGGAGAGAACCCAAAAAAGCTGAGTTCTAGTTCAGCAAATTGTCGGATAGTCTCTAGTGGAAAAAAGTCCGGAACCCATAAGAATCGTGAACGAGAAAATGGGATGGCAATCGATTTGAAAAGGTCGTCTTCGTCGTAGAATAACGTTCTTCTTATACACAACTAAGCAGAACAGACATATTGTTGATAACGATGCCTCCACACCTTGGTTGATCAATAAATATACCGAAATGTATCAATAAAATACCTATATTTGGCACTGCGCCTGATCAGACCACATGAATCACTTACGATCATTCGCAAATCGTGAGTCGAACTTGTCTAAGCGCATTACTTGTAGTTACTGATTTGCCCATGCTGTTGGTACTGAAATCGTCAACAGTAGACAACAAGTGGGATCCAAAACGATGCTCAAGGACTATCGAAGGACAGAAATTAGAGGCTGTCTTGAAAGAAGGAAGCGAAGAAGTTCCTTACGGATAAACCGCCCGTCCTTTGCACAAGGACTACAGGAGTAGAGGCAATAGCTGCGGTTTGGGAGTCAGCTAAGGAGGCACTGAAGAGTTTGATGCGGGTATATGAGAAATGGAAAGCAATCTAGTTGGGAACAGAATCGTGCAACACAATGTCTACCTCTTCGTAGATACATCTGTGTGCATAGACTACATAGTACACTAACGTGAAGACAAACAGTAAAGAATCCACTTCAGGCGTAAGCAGGAAGTTTTCCTCGATAGTCGTTTCCATATGGGGTTAGCGTTAAACTACCTTAGTACTATAGATTTAATTTAAACAGGCGCGGCCCCGGTTTCTAAGCACCTACTAGGGCTCGTCAATATGGTGTCACATTCCATAGTGGTTTCGTTTTTGACATTAATCATGGATTGAAGGTAAGGATGTCGAAAGGTTGTTGAGCGTTTGATGGAGGTATTCACAGGTTTAGGTGCATTCGTGTGATTTCACTACTGCACTTTGGCTAGCGCACCTATTGAATATTGTTTTTAGACGACTTCAGCCTTGAAGTAATCGTGCGTCACTTAACCTAAACGCCTAGAAAAATTGGCAGTTATCAGTTTGAAAGTGAACAAAAAACACCAGAGGTTACCTACCTTTCTTTTGATTGACATTCAACTTCCCCCGATCTCCCAAGGTGAATGTTCCTGGTACTGTCTGCTCTACCGAATCATCGTTGAGAACAGTTTCAGAGGACGATAGAACAATCGGTGTGCTGCTAACGTTCCTTTGGCTCCTGGCGACTGCTGGAGATACATCTGTGGATGAGTGGGGCTGGGGCCGATCAAAAGAGGTGGTTCTTGGGAAGGTGTGTGGATCAGCAAACGGGTTCAGGGAATCAGGAAGCATTAATACAACTCGATGGTTTGCATGAAACAAGCTGAAAATGAAAACGGAATGATCATCGACAAGCGAAAGGTTAATAGCAAAGGATAACGATTAGTCCACTACACCAGAACACATCATCGCAGCCCAATAAGCACTTGCATGCAATCAATAGATAAAGTTTCGGAAGAATTGGCTTCGTGCCTCATTTTGGTGGAGTTCTTCTCAAGGAGACAGAGCGAACGTAAAATCGTTGGCTCGCTTTGCAAGATAAAATGCTGTTTCCACTCTTCAATATGGATGGAGCATGAGACCCAGAATGACTTCCGCCTACGTATAACCTATCTTTCACTTAACTAAGGCAACTGTCAAGAGGGTGACAAATTCTGGGTTACACAATAGAAATAATGGTTAATTTGAGACGACCGTAAGAGAACGGCGTTGAGGAGTGGCCCGAACAGTTGCGACCCCCACGATTTACAGAACAAATCTGTTCGGTTACTGAAAGAATACAAAGGTTTCGTTGCTGGTTCTGAATTTGGAGGAAGGAGAAAGCTCCGGCTTCAAAATTCACTACACTCCGGATGTTGTCATTTAGTGGACTACAAGCAACCTGGCATGAATTAACCGAACAGTACATAGTAAAGCCAGAGGCAAATCATGCTGGCGCGACTCCTTCCAATGCATACAGTTAGCCACCAACGGCCCTCAGTTTAACAAGCCCGACGAAATATTCCCTCAAATAGCACTTAATTAGCGGAATCTGACGATCAACGAGTAAACCTTGAGATCAATAGGTCAGGTGACCAACCGACGAATAAGAGCCAAATTTTCCGCATGTGTTGCGGCACTATTATTTGCAAAGATGGATTTAGGAAGTGAGCAATGCAGTATCCAATGGACTAGGCAAATGTGTAGTTCCAAACCGGAAAGGAGTACGAATTGTCAGTGTCTATCAATGTGACCACTTGGGCGACGCAAGATTACTGTGGGAGGCAGCGTGTCAGGGTACCGCAGAAATCAGACGATAAGAAAATGTTTAAAAAGAGGTTCACTGGACACAAACACCGACATTAACTCCAAACCGTTGTCACTGGAGATATCTTCGATATCTGGTGCAGTATTAATACGCATTTACGGTAAAAACATTTTAGAACAGCAGGGCTCCGGTTCATTAGCGGAGGTGTGCAGCGACCGGCATATGTAGCATTATCTAGTATTCTGTCAAACCACTTGATGTTGTCCGTGTAAAACCTCACTGCTGCCCAAACGAGCCAGTTTCATGGATAACCAGAAAGTTCTGTCTCTTACCTAGGTTGCCCCCAGTTAACTGGTATCCTCAACACCAGCGTAGAGGATTGAATGCGAACTAATTACAGATCGCACACTGATCATCCTGGTTGGTCCTGGGCCCAAAAATTCATCGTGAATCGTGAGCTAGAGGTTGTATTCCTATAACTGACAGTCCGCTTTTGGATACCGCCGGATCTATGTCATGTAAAAAGTGTACTTCTACTATTTCGTCGTTAGCCACGCAAACCTGCACGTCATGGTTTTTTGTTTGGTGTACGGAACTAATATTATCCAGCCCTCCTGTAAGGCATCATGGAATATCTCACAATCAGATTGACAGATCGAGAATTTTTCCGAAAGTAAACTAACCTGATGCCTGGTCTCCCGTAGACTATGTATGATACGCGTCAATGAGCATCACACCAACATGAAACCGACTCTCAATACTCGACGCCCACCGATGAATGAGTGGACAAGGAATCTGCTCTCCAACCATACTGAACGAACAATCGCCAGCCTCTTGACTGAAATTCACACTCAGAGTTTTCTCCACGGAGCTTCGGACTAGGTTTCTTCAGTAGTTAGAACACGAACAGCAACCCATAAAAATGGGGACTACATTCGTTTTCATCTGTCTTAAGAGTACAGCCAAAATAAGCTGAAATAAAGCTATTCATCTGGCCTAACACTTTCAAGTCTAACAAGTACCAACCACCATATTTGGTGCCTAAAAATAGCAGACAAAAGGCTTCAAATGGCCCAAGCAAAAGTAACCACGTGACCAAACATAACGAACAGCGCATCATCAAGGAACGAAGGCGAAAACCAGTAGTTCAGAAAAGGCTATATGTGTGTAGAAAAAACGTGTACAAATTATATACAAGTGTGCGAAATTCAACATCTGAAATATCGTACGGAAAGGCGAACTCATGTAGCTCATTGTCAGAGATCTGTGAAAACAAACAACAAAAGAAGCATGTGGCAAGGCTTTGATGTACGATTGTGTACAAAAAGCACGATGTACCGATTGGCAGGGTTGGGTCGTTAGCCGACGGCTGATCACAAGGTTAGTGTCCATTGCAATTCTTCCATATTCCCCATGGGAACTATTCTGGAGTCCGCTTGACGGACTCAGTATAGTGTTTGGTTAAATCGATACTGTAATGGCATCGGTTCATCCTGTAAAAAATACGTTATTCGGAATCCAAAGACGCTTACATCATTCCAATAGACAACGCGAACAAACTTGAGAATGTGGTCTCGTCCAAGAAATGTTCCGTCTTCGTTGTTCTGAATAAAAATATCGATCTAGAAAACAGTGGAATCTGTTTCGGGTTCAGTTGGTACAAACATGAATAAAAAGGCAAATAGGCAAAAAACAATTGGTCCTTGAATCCGAAAAGATGGTCAACAGTAAGGGGACATCAAAATAGCTGGAAATGCGTGAAAATCGCGGTTTAACCTGGTTCTCGAAACGACTAATTAACAGGAAAATGGATGCACGCTTGAGAAACTTACATCACGAAATCGGGAAATATCATGCAAAACTTGCTGGGCTACGTATTTTCGTAGGTGGGTCACGGTCGCCCTGGAAGACAAGCGAAGATATTTGAAGGTCAATGGTTCAAGGGAATCGGATCCAGGTTCCAAATGGACATTGACTTGTTCATCACTGCGGTGATAGTCGGGAGCGTGAGAGAGGTTGGAGGCAGACGGACTAGAAAACTGACCAGTGGAAGCGTCACCGGATGAGTCTAGGCCGTTCGGTGATAAGCGTTCACGTACGAGTTCTAGTTTAAAAAAAGAGAGAAGAAAGACAGCTTTGAAATGAATGGAGAATTTACTTATTTTATGAGGTAACCAATATGTCTGAAGGTGCAGAAGGAAGCTCAGAAGAGTTCAATAATGATGTGTTTTCTTACTGTTCCTATGATGCTACTGTGCCTTAAATTAAAGAAATGAGATTAAACCATGGCATGGCATTCCACTGGTTATGGTGATTTACTGAAAACAGGCTAACAAGTACCAACCACCATATTTGGTGCCTAAAAATAGCAGACAAAAGGTTTCGAATGGACCAAGCAAAAGTAACCACGTGACCAAACATAACGAACAGCGCATCATCAAGGAACGAAGGCGAAAACCAGTAGTTCAGAAAAGGCTATATGTGTGTAGAAAAAACGTGTACAAATTATATACAAGTGTGCGAAATTCAACATCTGAAATATCGTACGGAAAGGCGAACTCATGTAGCTCATTGTCAGAGATCTGTGAAAACAAACAACAAAAGAAGCATGTGGCAAGGCTTTGATGTACGATTGTGTACAAAAAGCACGATGTACCGATTGGCAGGGTTGGGTCGTTAGCCGACGGCTGATCACAAGATTAGTGTCCATTGCAATTCTTCCATATTCCCCATGGGAACTATTCTGGAGTCCGCTTGACGAACTCAGTATAGTGTTTGGTTAAATCGATACTGTAATGGCATCGGTTCATCCTGTAAAAAATACGTTATTCGGAATCCAAAGACGCTTACATCATTCCAATAGACAACGCGAACAAACTTGAGAATGTGGTCTCGTCCAAGAAATGTTCCGTCTTCGTTGTTCTGAATAAAAATATCGATCTAGAAAACAGTAAAAATCTGTTTCGGGTTCAGTTGGTACAAACATGAATAAAAAGGCAAATAGGCAAAAAACAATTGGTCCTTGAATCCGAAAAGATGGTCAACAGTAAGGGGACATCAAAATAGCTGGAAATGCGTGAAAATCGCGGTTTAACCTGGTTCTCGAAACGACTAATTAACAGAAAAATGGATGCACGCTTGAGAAACTTACATCACGAAATCGGGAAATATCATGCAAAACTTGCTGGGCTACGTATTTTCGTAGGTGGGTCACGGTCGCCCTGGAAGACAAGCGAAGATATTTGAAGGTCAATGGTTCAAGGGAATCGGATCCAGGTTCCAAATGGACATTGACTTGTTCATCACTGCGGTGATAGTCGGGAGCGTGAGAGAGGTTGGAGGCAGACGGACTAGAAAACTGACCAGTGGAAGCGTCACCGGATGAGTCTAGGCCGTTCGGTGATAAGCGTTCACGTACGAGTTCTAGTTTAAAAAAGAGAGAAGAAAGACAGCTTTGAAATGAATGGAGAATTTTATGAGGTAACCAATATGTCTGAAGGTGCAGAAGGAAGCTCAGAAGAGTTCAATAATGATGTGTTTTCTTACTGTTCCTATGATGCTACTGTGCCTTAAATTAAAGAAATGAGATTAAACCATGGCATGGCATTCCACTGCTTATGGTGATTTACTGGAAACAGGAAATCAGCGTTTTAGTTGTGCAATGACACCACTAAAACATGATAAGCGTGCAAAGAAACTACTCCCTAGAAGAAACCCTGGAAATAAAATCAACGAATGATAAAGCGGGATTGGAAGATTCTGAGCAATTTTACTTCAGAAAAAGAGAAAGTACAAATAGAGTAGGGTACATGATTTGTATGCCACTACATGGTTCTACGGAGTTGCGCCCGCTACTTCGTAAGTGAATTGACAGACATACAAACGTCCATGGGTTAATTTACACTGATAATTATTAGCTAGGAACAGCCACACTAAGTTTAGAACCGCGATTGCTCGATGTGTTCGACAAACCAGGTCGGTGCTGTCACAAACTTGCGCCGCAGCTTAGTAGACCGGCGATATGCTGCAGACGGTGTAAGGGAATTAGCTCTCAAAAAAAACGTTCATGTCATACCACCCGAACTCAAATATTTTCTAACATTATAAAACAGTAACCGGACGTGCCTGTTACAGGTTTGAAAGGGTACACGAAAGCCATCCTACCGTCAAATAATAGCAGCAATGAAACCGAATTCTAAGTTTCCGAATCAACCGTTATGTCCCTTGCAAGTGAGTTCCCAGTAGCACAGAGTTAAGCCATGAACATGTGCGATCAATATGTTCTTCATGAACGATTATGCTGCATTATCGTTATCTCAGAATGGTCAGCTGACTAGCAGATGTCAACATACATCCAGGGCTAAAAAACATCCAAATGTGAGCAGTACGGACCTAAACACGTCACCTTAACTTGGCACTCGTGCTTGAGTGCCGCCATGACTCTGTGGATTATACTGGCTGGGAGTTCATTTGTCAAGATCAAGTCATGCAGGAAAAATAAAGCGAGCGGACAGAGAGCAGGGGGTTTCCATAAAGCGGAAAATCGTTACACGATGCGGTCTAGCGCTACATTCGTGGTCATCTGCAGTGAGAATGTCAACGCAGCAGGGTATTTCCTCTCAGTCGACCAGCATTACGGAAGCTTGGTTACCGAATCCTCCTGAAGGATGATGGGCCGCAAAGGGGTGGCTCCAGCGGTCCACAGTCCTGTAGCCAAATGATTCGTCATGAAAGCCAACAACAGTCTTATGAGGCTAAAAAACGATAAATCATTATCGTTGGTAGCAGCGTCAAAGCTGAAATACTAGTCTTCACTGCTAATTTAGAGACAAACACAAAATATATACACAGTGCTAGTCCATACGATAGTATGACATGCCTACAGCTTCAGAACTGTTAATCCGGAGAACCTGGGAACACGAAAGTCACTGACGTAGCTAGCACAGGGAAGGTCACGTGGAGCGCATCCTCGTAACTTCTTTAATCCCTTTTGTCAAGTCAGCTGCCTTCGATTAAAAAGTAGCAACACATGTAGCAGCGTCAACAGCAATACATCTGTGCCTTAACAAACAGAAAACTTGGTCCGGTCATTGGTAGTTGTCTCCAGACAAGTGCATCCTAGCAATCACTGCAAGAGTTGAAAAGCTTGGGTTCAAGGCCCGATAAAGGCCTACATTCACTTACTGGTGGGTGAGGCACAAAAAGGATATCACAAACGAAAGCCCTTGTTCATTAGGAATTCTACGAACTATCACTTTCCCCATAACTCTAATCAACCGGCGTCCATCTGCAGTGCAATGTCACACTAGAATCAAACGTTACTGCATCCCCTAAATGTAACCTACCAGACCTGCGTAACATGATTAATCTAAGACTTGCTAAACCTAACTAAATTTCTATGTTACTAGACTAAATTGTCCGTTCTACTCACCAGCTTTCAAAGCACGCATACTCTGACTAATTCGAAAACAATTGTCCCTTAACCCTAATTTCTCCAGTCATGTCTATAGAGAATGCAGTCAGTTTCCTGATTCGTTGGATAACCACGAATGTAAAATAAAAATGCTTCTTTTCAGGTCCCATACTCCAAATATCCGCTAATTCTGAAGCAATCGATCGCGGTATACGAGACCGCAGACTTATACTTTAAAGAAGAGGTCTTTAGTAAACCGTCACGTCGGCGGTACAGTCGCTAAAGAGGGTAAATGGTGGGGTTTTTTAGTAGAATATGCGCCGAAGGTACGAACCCAGAAACTAAAAGATGCTTTCTATCAAGACTGGTTCAACTAAGCATATATAGTCACCCCTGAGGCTATTATGAACATCCAAGTTAGCTGACTAACCCTGTGGAAGCACACATAGATGGTTCCTAAAATTCTATACTTACACGAGGAACCATGGATGACTCTTCCAAGTACGAGCTGAAAATCACTTCCGGGGGAAGACACATAAACCACCACCAATAAACCAGCAGTGAACCTAGTTAAATCACGTAACCGTGAAACACTGCTGGACATCAGCCACAAATATTATGATTAGTCTTCAGCAAACAGCTTGGCTCTTGTCAATCCAAAGTTTGTGTCATCATCATCACCATCATTATCAGCTGCAATAACCGCGTACTCGTAGTACAGTGGCTGTAGCTGCCGCAGTTTCGTTCACCGATGATTTGGGTTGGTAGGTAGCTGCGCATTGCAGGCGCGAGCTGGTAAATTGGTGCATAAATCCAGCACTGTCAGTGGGCTGTCAAGCGAACGGGGGTTGGAAAAGCAGTTATGCATTGAAGGCAATGGCTCTGATGCATGAGCGCCATTGAGGGCGCGACTGGGCCATGTCTGATAACGTCTCTAGCCATTGATGTGGCCCGTCCCGGGGTCCCCATCCAGGAAGACGGCAGTGACCAGCGCAACTGAGTTTGCTGGTATTGGCTTTCACACTTCCCTGCCAAGTCATTGTTTGGCCGACTCTGGCTCTCTTCCACCCTTCAAATGTTTGGGCGAAGAGCCCTTCGAGGAAGTCGGTCGACTGGCATATGCAGCACGTGGCCAACCCAGCGCAACCTGTGCAGTGTGATCAGTTCATCTATCGAGGGGGAGTTATTTCTCCCGAATACCATTCGACGTACTTCAGAATTGCTGATCACGTG